TGGCACCAGAGACCAGTGCTCCTGTGAGAATCTAATGCCTGATGATCTGAGGTGGAGCTGAGGCGGTGATGTTAGTGCTGGGGAGCAGCTGCAAATACAGATGAAGCTTCGCTCACTGGCCCGCCGCTCACCTCTTGCTGTGTGCCCTGGTTTCTAAGAGACCAGTACCAGTCCGAGGCCTGGGAGTTTGGGGATCCCTGTTCTAAAGTATCCTTTTAAACTGAAGACTCACCTACTAAATTTCTATTAAAATTTGGATTTTGTATAGTGTTTTTTCTTAAAGGAGACTATAATTCACTTTCTCACGTACCTGTTCTCTATCTCCCTGCCTCCCCTCCCTTTAAATTCTTCTTCCTTCTCCCTGGCTCCCTTTTCTTCCCTTCTTCTTTGCTCTCGCCTCCTCTTTCTTCCTCTGTTCCTTCCACTCCTCTCTTTACATCTCTCTATGAAATAAAGTGAAAGCAATGAGTAGTCATAGCTGTTTCTTTCTTTCTTTTCTTTTCTTTTCTTTTCTTTTTTTTAACGCCTATAGCACCTGGTCGTTATTTCTTATATTTAATCATCCTCGACATTTTGATATTCCAATTTATTTCTGCTGGTTAGATATACCATAATTTATTTAACTATGCCTATTGGTTGTTTCTAACTCTTTATTATTACCACTATGATAAAGATCTCTGTGCCTGACACTTTTTTCTATACTTAAAATGATTATTTAGGATTATTTTCTCAGGCTAGATTTCCCAATGTGAGATTCTAGGACATCAGTCTGTTATCACTAGATTGCTTTATAGCCTCTCCAACAATATATGAGAAACATCAAGTTAATTTCACCATTTAAAAAATTACTGTATCAATTTATATTCCACTAGCAATGTACAAGGGTTCCCTTTTCTCTGCATCTTCTCCAACACTAGTTATTTTTTGTCTTATTAATAATAGCCTTTCTAACAAGTGTTGACATAGTATCTCATTGTGGTTTTGAATTCTATTTCCCTTGTAACTAGTGATGTTGAATATCTTATATATCTGTTGGCCATCCATATGCCCATTCAGGCCTTCTGCCTATTTTTTAATCAGATTGATTTTTTGTTGTTGTTATTGAGTTGAGTTCTTCATATATTTGGGGTATTAGCCCCTTATCAGAGGTATTGTTTGCAGATATCTCCTCTTTTGGTTGCTCACCTTTTTTGTTGATGGTTTATTTGCTGCATAAAATCTTTATGCCCCCAAATTTGAAAATACTTATTTATACAGATATATGTACCCTATGTTCATTGCAGTATTATTTATGATAGCCAAGACATAGAAACAACATGTCTTTGATGAGTGATTAGATAAAAATGATGTGGTACATGTATACCATGGAATACTTCTTAGCCATAAAAAAAAAATATGAAATATTGCCATTGGCAACAACATGGATGGATCTTGAGTTTATAATGCTAAGTGAAATAAGTCAGACAGGAAAGGACAAGAATCATATGATTTCACTCATATGTGAATATAAAATGAAAATCAACAAATTAATAAACAAAACAAACAAAAAGCCTAAACTCATAGATATAGACAACAGAATGGTGGTTACCAGAGGAGAAAGGGGTGGGGGGAGGACAAGAGGGTAGAGGAGTCAAATATATGCTGATAGAAGGAGACTAGACTTTGGGTGGTGAGCACACAATAGTGTATACAGATGTTGTATTATAATGCTGTACACCTGAAATTTATATAATGTTATTAACCAATGTTAGCCCAATAAATTTAATTTAAAAAAATTACTTGGACTCTGGGCCAAGGTAGCAACATAGGAGGCTTCTGCATTTCCCTAAGCCCATGGACACACAGAATATATAGTTACACATGGAGGAATTCCCTCTGAGAGAAATGCAGAACTAGCCAAGTGACTTCTACTTATTGAGCGATTGAGAAAATATCCACATCAAAATGAGTAGGAAATGCTGAGACACACGCTCACCATAAACCCCACCCTTGGCACAGCACCATGCAATTGAGAGGGAACCCTCAACTCTCAGCTTCTCCCTGAGAAGCAAAGGATTGAGACCACACATCTAGTGCCCCAACTTTTAAGGCTGCCAACTGTGGGACAGGTGCCTATCAGTGAAATCTAATGGGACTTGCATTCCTGAGTCCCATAGGACTATAGCAAACAAAGAAGCAGTCGTTAATGGCATGTGAGCACTTTTTGCAGCTAGTTTTCCTCCATACACTCCTCCCAGGGCTGACATAGAGAACGCAGGCAAAAACACCCATTTCCCAGACTTTCCCTAGAAGGCGACTGCATACTTTATAAGCTGCTGCCTGAGGTCTGGCTTCTAATTAGCATGCATCTAGTTGCTGACCATGATTCTTCCAAGAGCCCAAAAAAGCTAGTGGGCACTACCCCTGCCTTCTTCTTCCAGTTTGCTCCAACTAGAAAACCAAGTTGCTTGGAAAGAGCTTATACACATATCTAGTGTCCCACCTTTTATGGCTGCCACCCAAGGAACAGGTCCCCAAATAAGCTAGCTCTGAAAGCTGATGGAGCTTGCAGTCATTATTCTCATAGTACTGTAGTAAAGAAAGAAACATTTTTTAAATGGGCACAGAAACACTCCCTGTGGCTATACATTCAGGCTTAGTGCAGAAGAAGTAGGTAAAAATGCTTATATCCATTTCTCTGTGGAGAGGTTTGACTGCATACTTTCTCAGCTGCTACCTGAGGTTTCAGCTTTTAATCAGCCCGAATCTGGGTGCTGACTGCAATCCTCCCACTTTGGGACATTGACAGGTCTTGGCACACCCTCAACTACTGGAAACCACTAAGAGCAAAGATGGTGGCTTGGAACAATCACAAAATTTTGGCAGGTTACAAGAAGCTCAGGCCATGCTGATTGACAATGTTCATCTCTTACATAAGATCAGTCTTTCAAGACTGAGAGCAATGGCTGTTTTATCTAATGTGCAAAACCAACATGGAGACTCAAGGAAAAATGAAGAAACAAGGGAATATGTTTGAAATAAAAGAACAAAATAAATCTCTAAAAAAAAGTTTAATGGAATTGAGATTTGTGACATACTTAACAGAGAGTTCAAAATAATGGCTATAAAGATCTTACCAAGGTCATAAACAATGTGAGAATTTCAAAGGAGGAATAGCAGAAAGATAGAAAATATTTATAAAATACCAAACAAATCACAAAGCTGAAGAATACAATAATTGTACAAAAAAAAAAATTCTATGGATGGTTTTGACATTAGAGTGGGTCAGGCAGAGGTGAAGATTAGTGAACTTGAAGACAGGATAGCAGAATTTGTGAACCAGAGGAGCAAAAAAGAATTAAAAAAAAGTGAAGATAGCTTAAGAGACTTAGAAGACATCATCATGTAGATTAATACATGCATTATAGGGGTCCCAAAAGGAAAAGAGTAAAGGAAAGGAGAAGGAAGCTTATATGAAAAACTAATGACTGAAAACTTTCTTAACCTAGGTCCAGGTAGCCCAAAAGTTTCCAAATCAGATGGATCCAAAGAGATCCACACCAAGACACATTATAATTAAATGTCAGAGACAAAGAGAGAATTTAAAAAGCAGCAAGAAAAAGCAATTCGTTCCATACAAAGGAACCCCCCATAAGACTATCAGCTAATTTTTTTTCAGGAGAAATTTTAGAGGCCAGAAGGGAGAGGGGTGGCATATTCAAAGTGCTGAAAAAAAGAACTTTCAATCAAACAATACTATACCCAGCAAAGTTGTCATTCAGAACAAAAGGAGAGAGAAAGTGTTTTTAGACAAAAGCTAGATTGACTTTACAAGAAATGTTAAAGGAAGTTCTTCAAGTTGAAATGAAAGGTTGCTAATTAGTAATATGAAAGCATGAAAGTATAAAACTCGGTGGTGAAGGTAGATTACAGTTAATTAGAATAATATTACAATGATGGTAGGTAAATCACTTATAACTCTACTATAAAGGTTTAAAGAAAAAATATTAAAAATAACTATAACTATAGTAGTTTGTTGCTGAATACATAATAGAAAAAGATGTGCATTGTGACATCAAGACATAAAATGTGGGAGGGGAGAATGGCATGGTTGGATTTGCAATTCTAGTTAGCTCACTCTGCAGAGTGAAGGATGCTTTCAAGTGGAGGGCAAAACTGGAAGGCACACTTTACTAGTTCATTTGAGAGATGAAAGCTAGAATCAGGGCCATAGTGATTAAAAATGGCATGTCATTCTTGTCTTTATTTTCCATATAAAAATCTTTGCTTCAATTGGAGAAGCAGACTACTCTCAGGTTGTAGTGTGTGTGAGAGTGGAAGTCTTACACATGAGGACTCTAAGAAGCCCTGTCCAAGGCTGAATATAATTCCCCTGGCTCATGCTACTTACTAGGACTGAGGGATCCCTTTTAGGTTACATATAACTTATGATCACCTAAGTCAGATATATCCACCTAATAGAAAGCTTACATTCTTTTTTTTTTTTTTCCAGCAAGGTGGGAGGGGAATGGATAAAGCAGAGAGGGAAAATTACCAAGAAGTATATTCAAGAAAAAGAAGTTTGATTCTAACCTATATTTGCTAAAATATTTTCATCTATTTTCTCTCATTTTATAAAGGTTTAAAAAAATGTTAATTATAATTTTCTTCTTGTATGAAGTTAAAAGGTAAAAAAAAAATAAAGAATTTATTATGTCATTTTCACTATTTTATATTTTTCTGTGACATTTCATTTACTACTGTAAGAATTAGACTACTAATTGTCCAAATTTCCCACAGTGCTAATCCTATGAGCTATATCTATTCTGTAGACTGTGTTGAATGTTTGAAAGCACAGCTGACTAAAGAGTAAATTAATATTTTCATATTATGAAGTGTATATAAATACACTTCATATTATGTGCGTGAATATAAATAACCTTTGAGATATAATTCACATGCCATACTGTTCACTCATTTCAACTGTACAATATAATAGTTGATTATATTTTCTTTAACAGGGAAAAAAAGATGTGACCCAGATATTTAACAACATCCTGAGAAGACAGATAGGCACTCGGTGTCCTACTGTGGAGTACATTAGTGCTCATCCTCATATCCTGTTTATGCTCCTCAAAGGGTAGGTACATGGTTCCCTTTAAAGGAGGTTTGTGTTTAGAATAGTTGTTAAATGTATTTAGCGTCAGCCTCATTTGAGATATGATAGGTTCTCTTTTGGAATCACAGTAAAGATTTTTACCATGCTTGAGGTCAGCCCTCCAGACCTGCATTACTTAGGCTGCAGCAAAATGTTTTTTAGCAAAGTTCCTTCCATTTATTGCTCTCTTTCCTCTATATTCCTGTTATTTCATGTCTCTTCCTATTATATTATTGCTTGTACTTCCCAATCTTCCCTTTTTCTAGCATTGCAGTTACCCTTTCCTTGATTGCATGAGACCAAATCCCCTAACCCTAATCCTCATTTACACACACGCGCGCACACACACACACACACACACACACACACACTCTTCTTCCAATGGCTAGCATCTGCCAAGATGACAGGCTTCCATGTGGGGATAGAGTAAATATTACTGTATGTATATAGTACCCTAAGAGAGCCAAAATAACTAAAGTCTAGCCAGATAATAGAATCCTTGATTATTCTTTTATATATGTATACTTATTTACAGATGCCTCTTGGGCATTTTGAGGCTACTCTAACTCCTAAATAAAGACCAGAGATTTGGATTTAGCAAGGTTTGCAGACAGCAGACTATCTTCTTATTCTCCTTCACTAACTTTCTACTCTACCATCTCAAACCTATATATTATGCTGTTTCATACCTAGTGTGTCTCGTCTGTGTTTAATTCCCAGTTCCTGCCTTGTACATTTTTAAATGTTTGATTGTAGCCAACTAACACATAACACAGTTTAAAAATCAGATAAATCATCAAATAGCAGCCTTCTGCTTCTTCCTTCTCCATTCCTCAGCCCCATTATCCAAAGACAACCACTTTTATCTTTATTTGTTCAGGTATTTACCTCTACATTTCAAATAATGGGCCCATACTAATCTTTGATTTATCCATTTTAAAAACTACCCTTTGACTTTCTCATAGGTCAGATGATAATTTAGTTTTTTCACCACCATTATTACTCTATTTTCCTTCCCCTTATCCTCCCAATATACTTTATCACAATTTTTTATTTTATTAAAAAGCACATTAAAATTATGACTAATCAATATTCATTGTTGAACAAAGTAGTGTATTATGATTACTTCGTTTTTTCTTACAAAATACTGTTTTTACTGGAGAATTATGTCTTTCAGTTCTGGGAAGGGAAATATACTTGTATCATGTATTAGAGCAGACTAAACTTACAACAAACATTAAACTTTACAACAAATAAACCCCAAAATGGAGTAGCTTCACCACCAGATAAGTTTATTTCTCACACAATAGTGCAGAACAGATGTTCTAGGTCAGCAGGGGGCTCTGCCTTCTTTAACGTGTGGTTGCTAAGATCACTTTGTTCATTGCCATTTCAGCCCACAGGAAGGCAAAACACATAAGAGAATTTATGAGCCAGGCCTGGAAACGGCTCATGTGCTCCCATTCACATTCCATTTGAGAGCACTTAGTTACTTGGCCCCTTAATTCTTAAGGGAATCTGAGAATTGAAAAACTGAGTCACTTATCCTACAGAATTTCCTCTATTTTGGGTTTGTCAGATTGCTTCTTAATGGTGTTCCATTATATATATAATATGAATATAACCTTTTAGAGTAAAGGTTATATTTAAAGGCTTGATTAGATTTAGATTCAGTTTTATTTTGGCAATTATAGGTGGTTCTCTATCATTCAGATTGCATCATGTGAGGAGACATACACTTAGTAATGCTGAGATTGAGCAATGGGTTCAGATGGTGACAGCCTAATCCATTATAATGTTCCCCATCAACCTTACGCTTAATTGTTTTACCATTCATTGAAGAACATTGCCTGATTCCGTCATTTCAGTAGGGGTTACAAAAAGGTGACTTCCTAATTCTGTCATTCCTTGTGTATTTATTGACTAGAGTAGTTTTATAGGGAATAACTTTCCTTTTTCCACTTCAACAGGTTAATTACTCTGAAATACAATTTATATCAGAGAGGCAGAATATATACCTAATTCTTTTTCTTCAGTTACCAATTTAAAGAATAATAAGTTGTCATCCTAGAAACTTACATTGATATCTCATGAGTTTCACGCCTCTCTCTCTCTCTCTCTCTGCCACACCACTCCACTTCCCTCTCCCTCCTTTCTCCTCCCCGCCCCAACTCTCTCTGTGTATCTTTCTAGTATCATTACAGAACTAGCGTGCTTAATGTTTTCCATACATCTTGTATTTTACACACAGTTTTTTGATGCATAGTTCTCCATCTATGGCCCCCTCAAGTTGACCCATGTCCTTTTGATATCACCCCCATTAGTTTGTGAGAGCTTTCTTGCTTTCTGGCACTAGATATACCAGGCCCATCTTCTGTGTTTCCTAACACAAACCTGGAACCAGCCACTTCTGCCAATGACCCTTGTTCCTTTTTGTGAGGAATGGTTCTTGGATCTGGATATGATCTGGATATTTAGGGGTGCTCATTGAATTGCATTGTTATGGCTTTTAGTTTTTTTCAGTGGACAGAGTTATTTCATTATTTTTAAAGTAAGAAAATATTTCCAGATAGAAGCAAAACATTTTGACTATATTTAGGAGGCCAACTGTTTGTTGAATGACATTTTACAAAACTTTTCCAAATACTGCCTGACGTTGTTTGCTTCCAGCAATAATAACAAAAGGCTTTTTTCCCCTTACATAATATAATCTATATTCTTAAGTTGAGATATTATTACACAAGATCTTTCTTCTACCTATTTTCTGTGTAATGTTTACTATAGCTTACTGCTAGATGAAACAATTGCTCTTATATTTGGCTTCCATTAAATTTGAAAGAGACCTTATATGCTGTCATTATTTGAATGTGAATGCTTATATAGTAGTGTGTCTTCTCTACAATAACACAATTAATTATAGTTCAGAACTACAAATCAGAAGGAAAATATGATTCAGTTATTCAGTTTTATAAAATAGAGATTCAGCATTCATTGGACCTGTGGCAAGTCAGTCATGGTGAAGAACACGTGATTTGTCATGGTTCCTGCCCTCGGGAACCTTATCCATAAGTAGAATAGAATAAATGAGACAAATATTTCTTTTTTACTAAACCTAAGGATATTGTTATTGGGATTTGAAACTTATGGAGTACTTCTTTATATAGTAGGCGTAAACTATCAAAAGCCAATATCCTAGAGGTAGTCAGATTGAAACAGTATATGTGGTATTACGGATCCTTCAAAAGGTATTGAGGAAAATTAGGAATTTCCTTATATAGATTAATGTATTACTAACTTTAAGAAGTTGTCATCTCAGGGAATGACAGTTCCACTCTTGGGCAAAAACTACTAAAATGAAATGGCAAGTGTTCGATCCAGAGTTTGTTTGTTTTTTTAACCTTCTCTTGGTCCTCAAGAATAGTCAGTACATCACAGATGATTCTAATAAACTTCATCAAATGAAGGGGAAAAATGGAGCTAATTATACACAAAAGTTGGAGTAGAAACTTTTTATAGTCTCAGTTTGGAATTTGAATTAAGAAATGAGAAAACATTGGCTAGAAATCATACAGATTTTTGTATAAGCCAAAGTTTGAGTCTCGTTAGAGTCCTTTAGTATTAAGAATTTTACTTAGAGTTTGAAATTCTTTATATGTCTACTTTGTGAAAAACATCATGCTAGACACTCTTGGAAACTAGGGTGGGGATGGGAGAAGGTAACAATAAACAAATATGGAGATAGTGTAAACGAGGAGAGGAGAAAGTAACAAGATAAGTAAAAACCTATCCCCAGCAATTAAGTCGTTTGTAATGAGGTGATAAAAATAAATTTATAACAACTTATTGCAACGTAACAAAGTACAGAATGCAAAGAACTGCTAAAGTAGAATTACAGACAAGCTGTTGTAAGAATGTGAAGGAAGTAGAGAATAATTCTGAATGGTGGGTGATTAGGAAAGACTTAAAAGGGGAGTTGGCATTTGAATTAAGCCTTGAAAGATGAGAGAGAATTATAGAGGTGGAAACGTAGGAGAAGCGCATTCTAGGTTGAGAGAATGGCATACTCCAAAGAATTAGCAGATGTGATGGGAGAGGAAATCGAAAAGTTAAGTTTAGAGCCAAATTATGACAGTCAATAAATATCTTACTAATAATTCTGGATTTTAATTGTCTCTTAAGTTCTTTCTCTAAGCCAACAGTCTTTATATCTCCTAAGTCCTCTATGAATAAATGAGAATGTTTTTCTCCTTCACATTTCAGAAACTATACCCCCTTTATAATAACTTTAATATTTCCTCACCTATAACTCTTCCATGTGTGCCAGTAGGCTGATTTTCAAATTATTCTGATAAGAGAACTTGCTAACACTATAAATGAGCATTTTTATAGTCTGCAAATAATCATGCCTGTCTGAATATATTAGCATTTAATGTTAATACGAGTTATTTAGGGAATACTCAAATGATATTTATAAATATTATTCAGAATAAAAAATATAAAAATGAATAAATACCACCCTGGTTTAATGAATTCTCTTAAATATCCTTTGCCATTTGATTTTTCTCATCTATCCAGTTTTCTTATCAGTTTAGTTCTCATCTTTTGCTTTTAAAAATATTTTTATCAGAATTTTTTTTAACTTGCAGAATTCATGATAATTTGAAAAATTGCATAGGCTCTTTATTAATGTCATTTTCCCCCTACATTACAGGAAATATATTTCCTATATTTTTTCAACATTCTAAGAAAACACTTTTTCAAAAATCGAGATATTTAAAGATTTTTTTTCCAATGGGCTTTGTACTACAACCATAAAAACTAGTATTGTATTCAATTGAAATGTTAAATGATATAACAATTTTTTTACCCTATACTCACTTCCCAGTCTTTTACAACTATGTCTTCCTTTATTCTATTCTTCCATTATTTACCACACAGTTGTCAATTATATCATTTCAATACTGAGCATGTTTTACTTGGGCTAAACATTGTTCATTTTCTTGAAACTTTATCATACACTGCAATGTAACTCAAACCGAGATTTATTTCAATGTTGAATTTGACACTTAAAATATTGTTATTAAATTAGAAATAGAACAGATCAAGTATGCCACTCCTGAATTATTTGCTACAGTAGACGTTGTATTTTTCTAGTGAAGTTTTTGCTGTGAGCTGTAATTCTACTTCATGATTTCAGTGAATCAGTCAATTCACAGCTATTAATCGTTGGTCATCTATTATATGCAAATCACATATGTATATCTATCCCTTATCTTTTTTCTGAACTCCAGATGGGTATGTTCTACTAATAAGGAGATATTTCTATTTACATATCAGGTATCTCAGAGTGAACATGGTCAAAAACAATCTCTTAATTTCTAACCTGTTCCTTGACTAGTTTATTCATCTTAATGAATGGCACCACCATATATACAATTATATTCAATCCAAAAACATAGAAATCATTCTTTTTTTCTTTTTTTTCCTCTTCCCCAGAAATCATTCTTCAATCCTCAGTTTCCCTTACCCCAGATTTATTCCCCACCCTGCCCTAGCTGCAGCATCAGCAAGTCCCATTGACTCTCCTTCCAAACAACGTATGTGATCTGCCCACAGTCCGTGATCCTACTACCGCCCCAGTCCAAGCCGCGATCATCTCTAGCTGGGCTTCTCCTCCTCCTCCTTTCTGTTCTCCCTGCTTCCACTCAAACTCCCAGGCCCATTCTCCTCTGTTTTGCAGTCGAGTTTCCACAGGTATCCAGAGTGATCTTTTGAAAGCATACATTGGGCCATGTTAATTTCTTACTTTAAACTCTCTAAAGGCTTCCTACTTAAAAACCGAACTCCTTACCTTACCTTACAGAGCTGTATGTGATCTGGCCCTTGCGCTTCTCTCCACTCCAGCCTCATTTCACACCATTCACTACTCTTCCCCCTACATTCCAACTGTACTGGTCTTACTTCTCCTACTGTAACTCACCAAGTTGGTTCTTGTCTTAGAGATTTTGCAGTTAGTTCCCTCTGCCTCTTCCCCCACCAGACATACTCTTATGGGGAGTATGAACACAGGGAAGCCAGTGACTTTGTCATGCTTACTGTTGTATCCCCAGCATCCGGAATAGTACCGGATATATTATACAGATATTCAGTGGATGTTGAATGAGTGGTGTTTGAATGAACTTTACAAAATGGTATCTATGCTTCCATTAACAGCAGTATTGAAATGTTTGTTTGGTTGGTTTTGTATGCCATTAGTATTGTTTTGTTAATAGGATAACAAAGCTCTCTATCTCTTGTTTATGCTATAGATATGAAGCCCCACAGATTGCCTTACGTTGTGGGATTATGCTGAGAGAATGTATTCGATATGAACCACTTGCCAAAATCATCCTCTTTTCTAATCAATTCAGAGATTTCTTTAAGTACGTGGAGTTGTCAACATTTGATATTGCTTCAGATGCCTTTGCTACTTTTAAGGTAATTTTTTTCTCCTGAATCAGCTAGATCATTTAGTTTCAGCATTTAAAGTCAGTTGGCCTCTGAAGAGGCATTTTAACTTTAAAAAGCAGAAAATTCTATTCTTTAGGCATGAGCATAGCCAACTGTGTATGATGTGGATCATAAAAGGCATCGGTATATAGAATACAATTTATTAGGCCAGCTTGTCACATTGTGGAAAAAAACAACTTGTTACAAGCTCATATGGAATGAATTCCAATATATAAATGAAAAGATGAAAATGTATTACTCTGTCTATAGCATGCTTTTATTTATGTTAAAAACAAAGGGTATAAGTTTCCCCTTACGGTGCATATGCTCTGAATACCTCTGCAAGGATAGCTGGGAAGCAGCAGCAGTGTTCGCCTGCAGGGAAGGACCTGGGCAGTGAAGGGGGATGGAGAATTACACCTTTAAATATAAAGACATCACATTATGTTATCAGTGTAATTTTGAATTTCCACATGGTGAAATAAAATACTAATAAATTATGTTGTTTTTTTATAATCATATATATTTTAGAAACTTTTTATCTTGTTTGTTATTATATAGGAGTTAAATGTAATCTAACTTAATTTTTAAATTTAAAAAATTTTAATTATGGTATAATGCACATAACATCGTTCGGCGTACCCTTCAATAGTGTTAAGTATATTCATGTTGTCATACAGCTAGTCTCTGTTAAACAGCTCTCCATTTCCCCTTCCCTCCAGCCCCTGGCATCCACTTGCTACTTTCTGTTTCTGTGAATTTGACCATCAAAAAGAGCTTCAGAGAGTATATTAGAAAATGGTGCAGCTAATTTGCAAACTAAAATATTAACACTTATACATCCAATGACTGGTGCCTCCTTCAAGATTTCTATTTTAGAAAACCACGTACTTATTTTTATGGTCCTGCCATTGTTTAATATATTTTGAAACTGTTATCAATGTTTGTGGCAAGTTCATTTTTCAAAAATGGCAAATCTCTATCCTTTGAGGGCAGATAAAAGTTTTGGAAACATCAAAAGGCTATTTGACATCCAGGTTAGTGGATAAAGTAGACAATCAAGTTAGCTAGAACTGTTTTAGGTTTGAGTAACAATTATAATGATAATAAAAATAAATTTTAAAGTAACTAAAATAGAGTCTGATTTTCTTCGGTGTCTACCAAATTGACTGAGGGACATTTTAGAAGAGCAATTCCAAAAATATTTTAAGCTGATGATATAACAGCATCATTGAAAAAAATAGATTTTCAAGGCAATTATACAAGATAAGATTCATTTAAATATATATTCAGATTTGTTTCTTTAAAGCATTTCAGCAATCTACTTGTTCTATTTACATAATTTCAAATTTACTTCTACTTTTTTCAGGATATAAATATAAATTTCACTTAATTATAATCCATATATGACTTTTAATTTATATATATTATCATAAATACATATTTTAACAAATATCAATGTAATTCATGTACTAATATTAATATATACTTCAATCTTATTACTGTACATAAATAACTCGAAAGTTGACCTAGATGATAAATAGTTCTTTTTAATGGCTCTCAAGAGGTCAAGAAAGGTAAAAGGAGTAATTAGCTGTACTGAAAACCACATATTATCTATAGACTAGGAATTTACTCAGCTCGTTCTGAGAAGGTTCCTTAAATCTATTAAGCCATGATTAGCTCATGTGGTGGCAGGAAGTGTGAGAGTCAGATCAGAAAGATTCAGGAAAAGGCAGAGATCAGAGTGGAGCAGGAGGAAGGCAGAACCTGAGGAAAAGAAAACCTGGTGAAGGGAAGGGATGTAGTGGGGTTCACAGGGAGGTGGGGCCTGCGGGCTGGGCAGCAAGAGGGGCTTCCTGTGACTAAGAAAAGAGAACACAGTGAATGGACTTCAGCCTGAAGATAGCCTGGTTAAGGGGAAGGCAAGGCCGGGCAGCTAGCTGCCTGGGACACGATCTATAAAGGAAACCAAGATATCTCCAGAAATATAATGAAACAAGGAAAACTGAATTGACACAAACTGTCAGGGAGAATCCTATTTGAGGATCATAGTTTACTGTGGTACTTTTGTTTCAACAGCAAAATGTGCAGTTTTGGGACCACGGCTGAATTGCCTTAGATACCAAAGCAAAAGACCTGCAGTGCCATCGTCCCTAAAAGTTTGAGCCAAGTCTGAAATAAAATATCAACCATTAGAATCTGGGTTTGAAGGGAAGATGGTCACCAGCCTGCTCAAGCTTTCCACATGTCTTCACTCATCCTGCCTGCTCCCTAGATTCTCCCTGAGAAAACAGGGAGAGAGGAAGAGCCCATGCCTGGAAGTCTGGGATAGACGGGAAGGGGGAAGGGAGGGAGGGGGATTAGAGAGTATGAAGAAGATAAAGACGTAAATAAAGGAAGAAGAAACCTAGTAAAGACAGCAAAGAGCGAGGAGAAGGAAGGAAAAAAAAGGGAGGAAGGGATAGGTACAGACTAGGGAGCGCTGACTGGGCACGTGTTCGGAGTGCTGTGGAACCCCAGGAGCCTTTCCATTTCATAGGCCGCTCAGTCTCACATGGCAAAAAAAAGTTGTGCAGTGGCTACAGGTGAACCCCTCCCCGCTCCCAAGAGTATATTTGGTGAGACATGCTTTAGTGCATCAGATGTGGAGAATGACATTTAACACAAAGGATGATTCTATTTCTTTCTAGCAAAATGTCTGTGCTTAAACAACTAAGGAAATGTTTTCTATTAATAGATACTGTCATCCCATTTTTTCCCTTTTCTATTTGATGACTCTTTGCTGTCATGGAAACAAGTTAGTTCCTTTAAAAAAAGACTTCACAAAGAATTGTAAGCATAGAACAAACTTTAATGGAGGGAAAAGCAAATACAGATGAATGTGTGTTTTTGAAAATTTCCTACGATTTTCAACATTTAATAGAATGAACTGTACCTGATAATGTCTTGCCATCATCTGTTTAGCCCAATTTAATTTTCAGCACAATATTGATTCGCAAAAAGAAATTCTAATGTTTTGATTTGTATTTCAGCATATTTTCCATTGAACTTAAGTCCTTGAAAATCTAAATAACTAGAAAAGTTTTCTAGTATGCTAACAATATTGGAAATGCCAATTTTCTGTATTTTTTTAAATGCTATGGTTAGTATAATGTAACGATGACCTTAAGTCACAGTTTTTTAAGTAGCTGGTTTCAAGGGGCATTGTTTGTTTATTTGGTTTGGTTTTATATTGGTTTTGGCTTTTGTTTTTAACCTCTTAGATGAACCTTTTTTGTTTTAAGCTCCAAGATGACTGTTACCCAGTTTAGTCATTAATGTTTTAATGTTGTTAGTTTATGTCTTTGTCATGGTATTGTCTACAAATTGTCCTTTCCCAAAAAAGATTCCTTAAAACCACAATGTCTTTTATCCCCACAAGAATCAACATGATAGGAGTGGTTCAAATTCTCTTTCCCACCTGAATAGCTATATGTCCTTGAACAAGTTAGTTAACCTTTGATAGGCCCAATGATCAATCAAGTTGTGAAGACAAGTAATATGAAATGAAATTGTTTTTGAACTTGAAAATTATAGTGCAAAATGCTTTAAATATTTTACTTTTTATTAAAATAGAAATATGTGGGTTTTACCATTTCTACTGCCTTTTCTCTGTGAGGTTATGTGTGTATCTTCTATATGCATTACGAAGTTTTAATTAAATATGTATTAAAGTATAAGAATTTATTTTGGAAAACTTTAAAGTTCTTGTTATGTTTTTAATTAAATTCTGTGTGATACCTAGTCAGGGTATTTAGCCTCTAAGCACATAAAAGGGATTAGGTAAAGCTTGTTTTCTTTCAACATTTAGGTGAATTAAGGATATGATTTAGGTCTGATTTGAAGACAGTCAAACGTTCCTTTATGCTGTTGTCCAGTTTTCTGAGAGTTATGTCTGTAATAAGATCGGGCTGCTTGTGTTCAACTTTCAAAGGGCTCATTGTGCTACTTAATGACCACACGCCTCACAGCCCATTACCTCCAAAGCAGCAGATGCCAAGATGGCCCTGTTAAATGTCCTTCTTGTGCTTCCCAGCGTCCTAAGCACCTCTGTTTTAAAACTGGTTAAGGAAAAAAACTAAAGGTTAAAATCCTTGAAAATCTGTTAACTTGTAAGATATGGTTTTAGTCCATTCAGAATTCTTTTTTTAAAAAATGACCGTTGACTCTTTTAAAAGATCATCATAAACTTTATTTGAATTATTATATGTACAATGTAGAGTTGTAGCTTGAAGAAATATACACTGTAAACTCATCTCTAAAATGTCATTTGTTTCAGTAAATTATTTCTATAATCTAAGAATGGTATGAATTTAAAACAAACTCATTTTGAACATGAAACATTCTCATCTTAAACTAAGAATGGAAATAATTTTGCAGTGGAAACAAAAATTTACTTCTGAAACTTTTATATATTTCAAATTAATAGACTTAGTAAATCTTAGAAGAAAAAGACATTTATAAATTTTATTAGCTATAATAATTTTCTTTCACTTGGCTGTTCTCTAGGATTTGCTAACGAGACATAAAGTGTTGGTAGCAGACTTCTTAGAACAAAATTATGACACTGTAAGTAAAATTAATTTTAAGTCATTCTCTCTTCTTCTCCCTCCCTTCCTCTTAGATCTGTGAGCACTTACTCCTATTGATGATCCACAATAAAAACCAACCATATCAATCACACACCTAATTCGTCCATTACCTGGAAGCCAGGTCATCAGGAAACTTTACAAAAAGTTAAGGATAGCAAGAGATCAGGGCTTTCTGGCTTTTCACGTCTCTTCCTGTTGTGCTCTGGAATTCCAAGAAACAACTAGCACCTGCTCCCTTTGATCTTGACTTAAAGGGCATTCATGTTGCCCTTAAGAGGCAATAAGTAGCTCTTCCAAATGGAAGAACACCCCCCTCATATTAAAATAAATCATTTTACCTGGTCAATAATTAGTTTTATTTACTAGTAGAAATGCCAAAGTATTTTTGTCTTCCAGCTCCATTCTCTAATGGAGAATCCAGCTCAGCCTTTTGAGATTCAACTGAAATGTGACTCTTCTAGGAAGCTTTCTCTAAGCACACCCTTCCACACACACACACTTCCCCCCTACACACACACTTCCTCTGCCACCCCCACCCCCACCCCACTCTACCTCTCATTTTTTGTACTGTATTATTATGGTGTGTCTGTATCTTCCTGGCTGGTTCTTGAGCTTCCCGAGAGGCAAGAACCCTCTCTGTTGAACACAGGGATTCAGGGTCCGGTATAGACTTTAGAGTCTGCTTGCTTGGCTTTAAGACCCAGTTTTGCCTCTTACTAATTGTGTGACCCTGGGCAAGTAACAGTGCCTACTGAAAAACAAAGACAATACCTACTTCATAGGATTGTGGCAGGAATTTGACAAGATTTAAAGTTTTTAGGATAGTACCTTGGTAAGTGCTCAGTATTCATTTTTATCATTATTACTTGGATCCCTAATATCTAACTCAATTCCATATATTTGACTGTGTTCAATGAGTATTGAATGAACAGATCCATCCAAGAGCAGCTATGTTTTTGCTAAATATATAAGCAATGGAAACATCATGATTAAAGTAGAACATAGCACAAACCTGCAAGCAAAACTTTACAGGATTTGTTCCAGTATTGGTTCAGATGCTTTAGACCAGTGCTCTTCAGTTGAAATATAAAATGCAATGCAAACCACTATATACTGTGTAATTGAAACATTTCTAGCTAGTCACACAAAAAGATAAAAGGAAATAGATGACTCTAGGAAGATATGGAATACTGTACCTATCAGTACCCTATATCGTCACACATCCAAATCACAGAAATTAAGCTATGTCTTTTTTATTCATAAATTGTTTGCTAGTTTCCCTTTACAATTAAGAATTAGCAATATAATCATGAAATCAGAGTGATTTTCTTATTCTAAAATTATCAAGAAGATACTCATGAGATCAATAGGAATACTTAGACTTAAGTGTCAGACATGAAGGGAGAATAATTATTATTGCCAGAGAGGCATCCAAAAGCTTCAAGACTAAAAGGAAATGGCATATTTTTGAATCTGGGAAATGAACCATTATTATAGTTTGGTTGTCCAATGATGATAGATGCTAGATAGAATGTTAAAGACTCATTAGATGTTACATTTGTACTGAGTGAAAATTAAAGAGGGCTAGATAGTTTAGTATCTACTGCTAATCTTTTCTAAAGACTGGGTGAGGTAAATGCTTTGAAGTCAGGGATAATACACAGCAGTGTATTTGAGAGACCATGAACTCATTCTCTTTGACCCCTTATTTATCTAAATTTTTTTTTTGTATCTATAATCGCTTCTTGTGTAATTTAAGAGTTTCACAGACACTGAACCAGATGCACTGACCTGAACACTAGTTCTGAAAAGTCCTGTTCCCTTAAATATTTCATACCTTTTGAGTTTCATATTCTTTAACTCTAAAGTAATGAAACTGGTAGCTTGGGAAGGCAAATCATACTTTATATATACATGTATTTGTATTTTATAGTTACAATTAAAACTTATTACAAAATTTGTCTGATAAATTTAATGACCCAAAAAATCATCTTTATATTTCATGACATTTAGAATAAGTCCTTCATATAAAAGAATATAGTTACTGTGACTTTAATGTGAGCTGCACGTTTCTGTTTTTACTTTTCACTTTCTTAATTTTTGATAATTATCATCAGTGTGCACAGCCTCCCCTCATCACACACGTGCACACACCTTGCACTTGGCCCCCTGAGGATCAGGACTGTTTTCCACTCCCCTCAGCCCCCGAATGCTCTAACTTTTAGGTCTCTGCAGAACTTGCTCCTTCCACTCTAGTGGTCTCCGAGTGTGTCCATGCATGGTGGGAGGTTGACACTGAGCTTCCCCAACCACTGGCACTCTGAGTTAAACTGAAGGGCCTAAGTAATGATTGATGGCGCATTAAGAAACAGGGGCCCAAGCACCAGTGGCTCCCAGCTTCTGGGGAGAGCAGAAGAGCTCCAGAGAGTCCAGCTGAGATTAGCATGGCCATTATGCAACAGAAGTAGCCTTATTCCTCTACCTGTTCATGCTATGAATTTGACAGTTTGATTCTTTATGAGTTGCCAGGTAAAACCCTAAATGTATTTAATCTTTTCTCAAAATATTTATAGGCTAATTGCTGCCAGCAAGTCTACTTAAATAGATTTCTTTAGAGTAACATAAAATGAATTGTCTTTGTTCAAAATGATTTATTGTGAGTACTCGATTACTCCATTTTTCTACTCTATTTCTAATTTTCTGAACTAAAATAAAATAGAGAATTATGTCCCTTGTATCACTTGATTTCCCTGTCTCCCAGTGTCTTTATGTGGAAATGAAGATGGCAAAGGAGGGACCTCCCCTATGGACACTGGTGACAGCTAGAGTTAAGCACATAGCAGTAGAAGACACAGCAGCTGAGCCACACTGGGCTCAAGGGTCAAGGACTTAACTTCTGACCAGGAGGGCAAGCAAGCCTAATGCAGAGAAACCACAGCTGGTTAGCACTCTAATATTTATTCTCTTTTCATTAGATTTTTGAAGACTATGAGAAATTGCTTCAGTCTGAGAATTATGTGACTAAGAGACAATCTTTAAAGGTAATGTCAAGTTTCCATAAGTTAGAGTCTCCATAAATTGATATCTTGTTAGTAAATGGTCTGTGAGTAAAGAAGTAAAAACAGAAAAATTTAAATATCCTTATTTTGTAACTTGAAAAATGTTACAAAAAATTTGTAACATTAAAATTTGTAACATAGTCATTATGTTAATGACTATTCTTTGTAGCAAAACAGTGTAATTGTCCTGCCTCAAATGCTTTTTAGAAGTAACAATAGAAATAATAATAAGTACATGATATGTACAGAAAAAGAGAGAGAGAGAGTGTGTGTGTGTGTGTGGCATTTGCAATTTGTGTGTGTGTGTGTGTGTGTGTGTGTGTGTGTGGCATTTGCAATTTGAGATTATCTCCCCTATGAACGCCTATGGAAATGCCACTCTCTCATCAGACAGGTTGCGGCACAGAAAGGCGGCATCTGTCTGTGAGTAGCCTTCTCTCCCTCAGTGAAAAGGTACCTGGAAGCAGCCGTTTGGCCAAGAAGAGGTGGGACAGCTCATGAAGGAGTGGGACTTTGGCTAGAGCTGCATTTTTGCTCTTCAGGTCCTACTCAGATATTCAAAAGAATGTTTGGCACATAATAATTGGCTGATTTTTGTCAAGCAATTTGTATGATGCTTGAGCTTACTAAATATCATTCATTTTATTTTTACACATTGGGATGAGAATATTCATAGATCAATGCATTTTTAAATATTGGATACAATTTTAAGCTAAAGCAATAAATTAAATCTCTTTGTACCACATTTTTGTAAATTCCCTATGGTTTTGCGTTGGCCATGACCCGCTTTCCCCTGTATTGTGCCCTCACTGCACCAGCTTTACACATTGATGAAGGGGGCAATGTACTATTTTCAGCCAGTCATTCAGCACTCTTTGTGCGGAAACCCGTACAAGGCGATCCATGTAGAAAAAAATACCACAGGTACGCCGTTTTCCTTGCTGGAGCTTGGAGTGATGGGACTGAGCTCCAGGCAAAGGCACTGCCATCAATGCTGTGTTCTTCCATGTCCAGAAAGCTTGTTAAAAGCAGTTGAAGAGAAGGATGCATCCTATTGCCACAGCCATGTAACTAAAGGATTCTTATTTGTGAAGGGCTCTACAAGGACAGCCAAAACAGGGAGCTGGTCCATATTACAAGAGATCATTGCCCTGGGATGGAAGTGGAAATTGAAACAGTAAACAGAGGTGACAATGGTCTGAAGGGCCAGAAAGAATATAGGAAATTGCCTGTAAATTTTCCAAATCCTTCCTCTTTTCAGTGGGAGTCTGTCAGATACTGGACCAAAGCAAGGACGTTGATATGAACTAAAGTGACAACTAAACTGAGATCAAAAAGGCTGAGGGTCATAGACTTTAGGATTTATTCCTATACCATTTTCAGCAGTGACAAGAACTTGTAACAGAAATTTTTCTGTGATTGACTATCTCTAGCTGGGTAAGGCCTCACACAAAATTATAAAGCTGACAGTTTTTTATTCAAACAGTGCTCTTCCGGCCTCCTTCCTGCTTTTTCTTTCCTACTACGCTATCATCCCCTCCCACCCAGTGCCCATTGCCTCACTCCCTTCTCAAGATGTCCTCAGACCCTCCTGTCCTATTCCCTCCTTAACACTTGTGAAGTGGTTAGAGCAGAGCCTACCTAGCTCATGGTAAAAAAACAGACACATTTGTTAAATAAAATAAAAGGAAATTTTACAAATAAATATTCCTGATCTATATCCCCAGAGTTCAATCTCTGGAAGGTTTTGATCAACTATAAATAAATAATTGGGACAAGGGTGTGAATTAGATTTATTCCTACCAGGATTCATTTGCATGTAAAAATAGAAGCCTGTTAACCGAGTGGATGGGTGATGGGTAGTACGTCATATGGATTCAGGGGGTAGTAGCTAAGGGGAGCGAGAAGGATTCCTTCCTCACTGCCGTTGCTGCCACCCCGTGCTCCACTACCCAGCCTCCTTCTTCACGTGGTTCTCCAGGTAGAGCCCTCTGAGCTTCCTGGTAACACGGGCAAGAAGCGACCCAGTGTGCATCTAGTATCTAGTATCGTAACCCTCTTCTAAACTCTCCCTTTTCAAACTAATTATGTTTTCTACTTATTTTAAGACACCTCAGCCCACTCATAAGGCCTATTTCTTATTCTTTTTTAACCTACCCAGACATACTACATGAGTTGTTACTCCTGCCTAAAATCCTTTACAGTTAAGTGAGTGTCTCACACATATTTGATTCACTGTATGGTAAAACCAAGCACTGGCTGGACAGTGAAAAAAAAGTAGTGAAAGGCAGATAAAGTATATCTGAGAATGCAGAAATTGTTAAAATGGTTACTGAAGAGTTGGCTTTTTTTTTTTTTTTTGAATGCTAGATGATAGAAACATTGCTAAAATGGTCTTGTATCACTCTATTCAAGGAAAGAACTCATTAAATATTGTTTATTCTTTTCTTCAATAGAAAAAACATCGAAGCGCTCTGCCAGAGCGCTGTTGGTTTTACCTTCTGGAAATTAGATCTGTGGTAGCAGTATGCTGATTCTATTTTAAACATAACCTTGTTTATAACTCTGGATTCTGTAATATTTTATTCATAGATGTTTCAAAATTCTAAGAAACAAGAGAGGTTAAATTATTACAATGTGTATTTGCTTTCGTGAAAGGGCCGTGTATGCAAACCAACCCCCTAAAGCCAAAGGAGCAGCCCACAGAAAGGCCGAGACAGACACCGGGTCTCAGCAGCAGAGATGAACTCCCCGCCCCCAGTCTCTGCATTTTATAGCTAAAAGCAGTGAGAATGTGTGGGTGATCAAAGCCATCAGGTGCCCGCAGGCTCTGGTGACAGGGTGTGCTAAGAGAAACATCCAGGGCACCTCTCCGCAAAGGGAGAGTTAATGTGAGACCTGCGACCCAAGAGCTCAGTGTCGCTGGAGCGCCCGTGGGAGTGGGGTGGGGGGCGTCGAGGGACTGGTTCGCCCTAACTGGAAGACCGAAGTATCCTGTGCCTCATATGAGGCTGCTTTATGATTCCAGAGTAGTTGCTGCATGCTGCCTTTTGTTAATCATATTCTAAATTTTCCTGAACTATTTTGGGCTTAGATTCCTGGTGTCAATAAAAAATAATTTAACAGAGAAATTTTTTTCCCTCATGTGACAAAGCTTAAGAATTCCTTATCTTTTTCAGAGGCCTGACATTTAATTACTAGCGAGAAAGATTATAATTTAAAAGAAGCTTGGTGGAATTTTTAGATTTCTTTTGGCTCTGGTCAATTTCATTAAAACCCCAAGTTTGTTTTGTTTTGTTTTTTTAAACTTATTTCTACTTGCTATGCATGGTTTTACTGTGTAGTATGAAGCCTATAAATAAAATTTAAAGAAGTAAAAGCATGATTTTTTCCATTTACTTAGTATAGTATTGCTTTAGAATGCTTTGTATTATAATGAAATGCAGCATTTTGTCATTGTCGGTATTAATTAAAATAGATTAACATTTGATGGCTAAAAGCTTCAGCATTGGTGGCCAAATGATTTAACACAATTGTTTCAGAAAAGTTGAGAAAATATATTAGCAAAGGATGGATTGGGTAGAATTTATATGTAGACATCCCCAGGTAATAAAACTTGAAATGACTTAATCTGAATTTAACTGCATGTTACATCAGCAAATGTTTATTGAATGTGTATGTGCAGATTTTAAAGGTAAATTTTTTAAATGAAATTTATTTTGCTGAAAGGAATTTCTATATGTGTATGTATGTCTGAAATACATGTATTTGTAATATATGATATATTTGATCTTATGTATTTTTATATGTATCTTTAGATATATATCTACACAGGTAGATATAGAGGTAGCTGTATAAAAAAGCTATATATCTTAAGTAGGTATATTTTATATTTTATATACATAAATTTTTATATAATGAGATATATATATATATATATTTTTAGAAGCCTCTTGTCAGCTTTACAATCCAGAAGTGGGTTTTTGTTTGTTTGTTCGTTTGTTTGTTTTGGGGGGGGCAGGTTGAGAGAGAGAGTCTGGGAGCCATCCTTCTGAAATGTAAACATCTAAGAAGATAGCACACCAGCCTCCCTGTCACCAGAGTTTAATCTCCATGCTTCTCTCTGAACTGTAACCATTTGCTTGTTAGAGAGAGAAGAAAAAATTTGTTATCCTCTTTATTAGTTGGATAAAGAGCTACTTTATCTCAATGGCCAGGTGAATTCAGGGTAAACTGTAGAAGGGTACACAGCAAACGGCACTGTCAACTCCTCTTACAGGAGACAGGCTACCTTTAATCTTGAGGATACTTGTATCTACAGGATCGTAGCTCCTTGGCTGTGCAAATGAGGTGGAATTTTATCCGTCTTTGTAATGTCTTTTTCGTATATTACCTACAGTGTTGTGCTTTGGATATGCTTATTCGGTAATTCATTCGGCTTTCATTCTACATTTTGTGGATTGAATTCTGTGTTGGTAGGACTTTATTTCCTCAACAGTACACAGATCACACAGTCTGTAAAGGGCACAAATACAAACAAGATTTGATACATGCCCTATGGAGCTTACATTCTAAAGAGGCTCATAACTAACTGTACTGCAAGGCAGTGTGAGTACAGCTGGGAAAAAAACAAAGAGCAGAGAGGTGATAGAGGAGATTCAACTGAGGAGAAAAGTCTAACTCAGAAAAAGGTAGAATGATGGTTACAATGGGCTGGAGGGAATGGGGAGAATTGGTCAATGGCTACAAACTTTCACCTATAAGATGAATAAGGGTTGGGGATCTAATGTGCAGACTGGTGACTCTAAGTAATAATACTGTATTGTGTGCTTGAAAGTTGCTGAGAGTAGATCTTAAGCTTTCTCACCACACACCAAAAAAAGGAGGGGTAGCTGTGAGGTGGTGGACATGTTATATGATTGTGGTAAATATTTCACAGTGTATATGTATATCAAATCATCATGGTGTATGTTTTAAAAATATACAATTTTGTCAATTATATTTAAATAAAACTGGGGACGGGGATGGAACTGGAGCAAGGGAATAAAGCCACAGAGCCAGGAGAATGAGGAAGACTGAGCAAGCGAGCTGAGGAAAGGAAGACCACTGAGGACTTAGAATGCCATCCAAAGGAACCTAGACATTTGTTTGTTTATTCATTCACTTTTTAAGTGGAATTAGTAATAGTAGTAGGGCTGACCTTCAGGAAGATTCATTTGACAGAGTGTGCAGAATGGCTTGGATTGGTGAGGATTGCAGAAGAGACCATTTGCATGCTGCTGCAGTCGCTCAGAGGAAAGGCAGTGAGGGTTTGAATGAGGGTAGTGGGATGAAAGAGGTTTGAGACCTTTAAAAACAAAAAGTTGGCAGATCTCAGATGTAGATTTGATGTGAGAAGCAAAGGAAAGAAAGGAGCTGAGGAAGATTCCAACTCCTCCCTGGGGAACTGGCACATCCTGATGTCATTAGCCAGGAGGAAAAAGGGAACTGGTTTTAGAGACGTTGAGTGTGATGATGGGCCACCAGAGAGTTCTGCTGGGGCTGCTTGGTGGGCAGTTAGAAGTATGGGTATGGAGTTTAGGAAAGAAACCGAGACTAGAAATGTAGATTTCAGAGACATCTTTCCAGACGTTATATCTGAATCCATGAACCTAGATGAGACTGATAGAAGATAAACGATTCAAGTTCACAGCTTGGAAAGTTTCTGCATACGTGGTGCCGAAGGAAGGGGAGTCAGGAACAGAGGCAGCAAAGGAGCAAGGCTGCAAGGGGTAAAAAACCAGAACAGTGCCGTGGCCTTGAAACCAAGAGCAAAGGAAGTTTCCAGAAGAGTGTTCTATTAGCTTTGGATGCTGCAGAGAGTTTAAGGAAGATGAAGATCAACAGTTTACACAATTGCTGTTCCATATGTACGAGATGAAGTGGAGACCAGCTAACATTCAACAGTGGTCATCATTTTTAATGTTATTTTTGTGCACAAACATAACTTTAAGATGTGTACTTCTTATTTGTTAAATAGACAAAAGATGCATCACAAGCAAGGTTGTCATTTTCTGGCAGCCAGACAGCCAGACACACACAACACATGTATACACCCACGCCTGTGAGATTCTGTTGCTAGATTCAGCTAGCTCTCAGTTTCATGCGCTTTCTCCTCCCATCTAGAACTTTTATAACCACCTATACAATGTATTACTATCTGGGGGCATCCAGAAAAATTCCAGTAAGTAGGATAATTGGAAAGTAACTATATCACATATAGAATTATGTTAAGGGTACATGTCCACTACCTGGTTGCTGAAGCTTTAGGAATTGCTACCCCTGCCATGACAGTAAAAGCTTATAAGGTGGAGCAGTAGTACATTCAGCTGCGCTGCCACAGGTTCTTCAACTCTTCTCACTTTGGGTATTTTTATTTTGTGTTAAAATGTCTTAGTCTGTCCTGGCTGTTATAACAATAATACCATAGACTGAGGGGCTTAAACAACAAATATTTATTTCTTGTAGTTCTGGAGACTGAGAAATCCAGGACCAAGGTGTCAGCTGTGAGAGAGCTCTGGAGTCTCTTTTATAAGAGCATCAGTCCATTCATGCGCCCCCACCCTGTATCCTAACCTCCCAAAGGCCCACCTCCTAATACCATCGTACTGGGGACTAAGATTTCAACATACAGATTTTGGGGGGACACAAACATTCAGTTCATAACATGGAGTAATCCTGCATTTTGGAAACTATTTGTCATCAGAAAATGTTTTGCTTTTTTATAAAAACTTGCTGTGTGTGTTAAACTTCATATGGATTCAGGGTCAATGTTTTTTTTTCTGGCTGTATATCAAGTTTTGTAATAAACATTAGGTAAAAGATAATAACCATTTATTTCCAGTAAGCTACGAGAGTACATTTATTTAGGAAAGAGAGATGTCACTGTAGAGTCAATTTTGTTATTCTTCTCCTGCCTCACTCCCTAAGGAGTAATACATTACTGGAAAGCAAGGTAATTAAAATAAGCAATGAAAATAATAAATTTATTTCTGGCTAGCTCTTGATGAGAGAGAGCTTTTTAAAGCTGCAGCAATGATTGGCTTTAAAAAGATTCAGAAATGCATTAAGCATGGACTTTAGCAAAACTGTGTGAAAAGCTTAAAATAACTTGATAATATCTACTGCTTTCATGCCTGTGCTTTAAGATACACTAAAGGACTCTCAATTTTTTTCATGTCAACATTTTTTTTTTTTTAATTTTCTCATGTCAGCATTCTTAACTCACATTTATATTTTGTTTTTCAGGGAGAAGTGAGATATATTTTGAATAAGATGGCTCTGAAACAGATTATAGCTTTGATTTTGTGTGTGTGTGTGTTTTCTATAGCTGCTAGGTGAACTGATCCTGGACCGACATAACTTTGCCATTATGACAAAGTACATCAGCAAGCCAGAGAACCTCAAACTGATGATGAACCTGCTTCGAGATAAAAGTCCCAACATTCAGTTTGAAGCCTTCCATGTCTTTAAGGTAAAGTGCATTCTGCAGAAATAACATGAGCATTTGTTTTTCAGTTCCAAATGGCAAACTCTCTACTTTTTACTCTCCTTTATATTTGAGAAAAAAATTAAATAGGCAGTCTTTTGGTTTTGTATAACTTAGATGAAAGTTTAGAGTTATTTTACTGAATGCTAACTAATCCATATCTAATTTTTTTTTTCACCAAGAAAATAGGTGGATACTGTTTCCCAAAAGTAACAAAAATAATCAGTGATTGAGTTAGAACCCAAACCCCAAGCATCAGAATTTGAATGCTTTGCTTTCTGCCTTAAGTGTTTCTTTGAATGTTAAATAAAGCGGTGAAGAAACGCTTGGGTGCTACTCACTTTTATTACTTATTCAGAAATATTTTTGTGAATGCATTTTGCTGTAGAAGAAAACTAGCCCCTATAATACCTGCTTTTTCTTTCTGATATATTTTCTTTGATACAAGAGTAACAAAATTGCCTCCTAGAAACTTTAGGCAATAGATTTTTTTTTTTTAAGTAGGGTAGGTAGGAGAGAACTAATCTGTAATCTCATACTCCTAACCTAAATATTGTGAAGATTTTAGTACATTTTATTTTCCTGTACACATGTTTGAAGGTTTTTTTTCTACAACTGTGTTCACATTGGATACAAAATTGATATCCTGATTTTATCACTTAATGCTATACCATGATCGAATACTAATTCATTGTTGTTATGTGTCATTTTTAGAACCATCATAATTTTATTGGCATCGTAGTTTATCACTGGGTATATTTACTCTAGTTTACTTAAATATTCCTGTCATTAATATTTAGGTTATTTCCATTTTTTCCTACTCTGAGTAATATTATAATGGACCATTTTATGTATCCAGCTATTTTTTTTACATATTTAGGATTATTTTGGAGGGATAGGTATCTAGAGTAGAATTAAGGGTTTAGAGGGTTCCAGGCTTTTTTTAGTTTTTGTAACATATATTCAGTAATTTAATTATAAGTCTATAAATGGAGACATGGCACTTTATAAGATAACGTAACTGTCGCTTTGAAAGGTAAAAAAATTTTAGTCTATCTTTCAGCCACCAAATCTTTATTTTCCAAAAACTAAAGCAGTTCAAATACCAAATTAATTTATAAATTCAATTTCCTTACATTCAGAATTCCGACAGGACTTTTCCTGGATCTGGACAAGCTAGTTCTAAGATTTGTATGGCAAAGCAATGGCCTTGAATTATCTATGGCAATTTTGAAGACGAACAGGTAGGGGAAACCTCCCTACTAGATATTAAAACTTATTATGGATTTGTAATAAATAAAAGCCATATTGTATTGGCACCAAGATAGATAAATAGAACAACGAAATAGAGTAGATGGCCCAGAAATAAACCTTCGCAAATATGAAACTTGGTATTTGAAAGTGGGGAGATTATAAATCAATCAGTGAAGAAAGGGTTAACTATTCAATAAATGGTTCTAAAGTAAAGGATTATCCATACAGAAAACCCTATCCTCCACTGTTCTCAGAAGTAAATTCTAGGTAAAGATCTATACTTGAAAAACAAAATTTTTTAACTTTTAGAAGAGAAAATAGGAGATTGTCTTTATGATGTTGAAATAGGAAGAATTTCTTTAAAAAATAAAAATCGTAAAACATAATAAAAACATTTATAAATTTGACCACATTAAAATTTAAAACTTCTGCTCAAAAAAGACATTATAAGCAAAGGGAAAGACAGGATAGAATATGACACATATAACTTACAAATCATTAAGAAAAAGACAAACAATTCAATAGAAAAATAGGCAAAGGATACAAGTTAGTAATTTACAGATGAGGAAACCTGACTGACCAATAAGTAGGTGAAGATGCTGATCATACTAGTAATCATGGAAATGGCCACTAAAATATCAATGAGATATCTCCTCACATTCTTCATATTGGCAAAATGTGTAAGTCTGACAATATCAAATTTTGGTAAGGTTGGAGGGCTGTGGAACTCTCATACACTGTAAATTGGTACAACCACTTTGGAGAGCAATTTAACAAAATAGAGAATTGAAAGCATACCCTTCAACCCTGCAATCTCATTCTAGGTAATTTCTTGCACATGTGCATAGGGAATCATGTACAAAAATACATTTTGCAACGTTATTTATAATGGTGTACAATGAGAGAAGAACATAAATGGACATCATAAGAAAACTGGAGGAATAAAAATTGTAATATAGTCATACAATTGCATATATTAATGGAGTAAAATTAATAGAGTTATATGAATCAATGTGGCTAATCTCAGAGACACGGAGTGGGATAAACAAACATTAAAAGGATGTTATTTATTTAAAGTTTGAAAACCTGCAAAAACAACACTATATGTGGATTTATATATGCAGTTTAGTCTAAAAACCTGCATAGGAATGATAGATACTTAATTCGGGATAGCAGTCACCTCAAGGGAGGGGTAGGGAAGAGAATGGTATTAGGAAGAAGTGTCCAATAGCCTCTAATTACATCTGTAGTATTTTATTTAAAAAAATCTTAAGGCAGGTATGGCAAAAATGTTAAATTTTGATAGAGCCGATGCTGGAAACATGAAGTCTGATATGTTATTCTTGTACTCTTCTCTGTGTTAGAATTATTTCACAAAAAATAAACACCAATTGGATGAAGCAAAAATAGACTGCTCTAGGACTAGAAAATGCCTATGTAGTATAAAATGATAGATCCTCTCAAGACCCTTTTGACTGATGAAATTATAGAGGGCTGTGTGTCATGTCATTCAGATCCCATAGAATTTAAATATTTATCCTAGATGAGAATAAGCTTTATATGATTTTGTTCAAAATACAATATTATAGAAAGATTCAGTAGGTGGAAAATAGAAATAACCTGCTTCTGTCCCCTGAGAAGATCAAAATTTGGATCATCTAATCATTGGACAGAGTAGGTACATTTAAAAATAGCTGACCACTTGTTTACTTGTACGTGTGTATAAACTGTTCCCCAACTATGTTTCTTCCACTGAAGTACAAACTGAATTGTTTACTTGCCAAAAATAATTTTTTGTGATTTAGAAAAAGTAACAGCCAAATCGTAGGGTTTTTTTTCCCACAGTTCTTTATTAATAGTTCCCCCCCACCAAAGCACCTTCTATAAGGTGCAGAAAATGTGGAACACGTTACTGAAAATGTCTTTGCCACCAGATCATTAGTGTCTCATTCTCGTTAGCTTGCTGATAAGGTCAAGGACTGGAATGAGATGCTGTTTCACGTGCTTTCTTCTATTGATGAGCCAGGGTGCTGTGGTGGGAAAGAACTGAACAGAAATCAGGGGACCTGGGCCTTTGTTCTGGCTCGGTTGCCAGCAGTGACTTTGGGCGAATCCGTCTGGATCTATTTCCTCACTTGCAAAATGAGTAACATTAAAGTCTAAGGTCTAATTCTAAGATACTAGGTTCAGAGGACTTTTGTCTCTGTCATCCTGGCTCTCCCAGAGATGTGCCTAGGTGAATGTAGGAATCAGCTGTGGCCTGATCTCCTTTTCCCTTCCCTGTTAACCTCCTAATAGCAGAGGACAAGTTGCCACTTCCACCAAACCATGTAGGGGGTGGGGCAGTCTGCGCCTTTGGCTACCTCCTCAGAGCTGCTGGAACTTGGGGACATCCAATGCCAGAATCTGTCCTAAGTGTATTACTCTGTCGCTCAGAGCCTAGCAGTTGGCCACAATAGCCATTGCCATGAAAACAAGAAGCTCCACCCTCCCTTATTCCAAAATTCAAAGGCCAACTTGACAATTCACCTAAAAAAAAAAAAAAGTATGTGGAACCAGAAACATCCTAGTTGATAATAATTTCCAGTGATCTTATGGAAGAAAATGTAGAATTACACATTAATTTGGTGAATGCCTAACCATAAGTTGCCCACTTCCTTATGGACCCATTTTTTTAGCAAGCCAGCTACTTCAGTCACAGTGTACCAAATCTAAGTCTACTAATGGATAAGCGATTGAGACCAAGTAAATTTAGGAACCAGCTGTGAGCTGATTTAATAATAATTTTTCTAAAAATTTTTAACAATACAGTGAAAAGTGTTTATATCAACTTCGTGTTTTAATAACTACTTTTAAATAGTGTCAGAATATTCTAAATATTGTATCATTCATATTTGTGTGCATTTGGGATGGTGAACCTTTAGAATATAAAGGTCTTATTTTACACTTGCACGAAATGGAATTTTGTACTGAGTAACTTCCATGTCGCTATAACAGGAGCCCCACTTTCAAATCCGTGTACAAAGCAGTCCAGGCGTTCAGCATGCCTCACAGACCATCAGGTTAGCGAAGCTGGAGACTGGCCTTCTGATACTGGGCCTAGTGCAAACCCTCTTGGCAAAATGGAACGTGAATGAAATGACTGAGTATGTGTGTGTAAGATATACATTTTTTATCTTTCATAAAAAACAGTCAGGCTTAAAACAGAGAGCAAAATATTCTTAGTTTTCCTTTCTCCATAAGTCACGTTTCTGAGACATGTTGTATAAAGTAAGGGATGCAGATGATAAAACTGAATTCTAAAAAGGAAAGCCAAGTTGTTTTATTTTTGTGATTTGTTTGGGTGGTTTGAAAAAAGTATTTTAAAAATGAATACAGCAGAGAGAGAACCAAGAAACTCTCTACGCTGGACGTAATAATCAAAAGATTTGGTTCTGCACAACTTGGCCTGGAAGCCCATTCCTTAGGGAGTGGCGCATCTCGAGCCTTGACCTTCAGTGCCTGGCGCCCAACAGAGGTCATGCGACATTGCTTTAGCTGCCTCTAAGCAGCAACTGCCTTTCGAGGCAGCAGAGTTCAGGAGCCATGAAAAATAAAAATAAGAAAAATTTTAATCTTGCAAATGAATTTAACATTTATTAGGTTTATTGTACAGTATGGATTCAATGGAGTTGATCCAACAATGCCTGACTGCAAATTCCACTACATTTTACATTTATTTTGGATTGAAA